CTGGCTGATGCTATCTATTCTGTCCATGTACAACACAAACAAGAGATGAGACAGAACACAGCTTTGGCAGTGGCCAGTGCCAAAGCTGAAAGTCTTTGATTTAGCGCCATTTACTCTGACGCAGCACCTGCTGGTTGGATGACGCGCAGCAATTTGCCTTCGATCCATGCATTCGCGGGTTCGTTCATAGATAATTATCCAGTTATGGGCGTTCTCTACGTCCGTAAAGCACATGTAAATTTGATGAGCGAACTCCCACAATTTCTCAATAATCTGAGGTTGGTAGGGTATAGGGGAAATCTGATCATACGTGGTTCGGCCGGGCCGGAAGCCACATGCTCTTCTTCAATCTTGCGGCCAGTTACTCCATGGCACTTCCTTTCTAGCACTTTTCCGTAGGCTTCAGCCGGGAGGTTGAATAACATAATGCTTGTATAATTGTCTCTCTTCTTGAATAAGAGTACTACACCTCTCGTTCGCTGGTGTCTTTCCCGGAGTCATCGCTGCTAGACAGAACTTGTAAGCCAGCCTTGTTCGCCTACTGCTTTGAGCATTTCAGGACGACTTTTATCAACTCCTGCGGCCTTTCCACTTTTTAAGTTTTAGACAGCTTGCGTGATTTCATCTACAGAAATAGTAATATCCGTTCTTTGTTTGCGACGCCGTCTAATGCACTGCAGACGTTTAAACACCATTTAGCTGTGATCTGCTTAAATGGTCTTCCTAGGCAAGGGGGCGTGCAGCAGAGCTGGCATTGCAAAGTGAAAAATTGATTTTTCTTTTTTCATACTGTATCTTCGCCGTTTCAGTCTGGTATCTTAATGTTTAATGTGATAGATTTAGCAGCGGCATCGAAAGTTACTTCACAATTTCAGGGTTTCATTTTGTCACTGTCTATTTGTACGGCCTTTATGTTTCTTATGGGATGGCTCGGTATAATAATTTATTACACAAATCACCGACATTTCAAGTCATTCTCGTCTAATTATTGAAGCACAGTAATATGAGCTGATCTGCAAGATCATATTATTAAATTACAGTTTTGTCAATAACGTTATTAAGAGTTTCGGCTCCACAGTTATCAACGCTGACAGCGTTTTGAAATAGCTAATGCCCAGATACTGCTCAGGTCCATGCAGACGTTGCTATTTATAAATCTGTTGGCCTAAATGAACAGAATCTCCTAGATCTTATTAAACTTGTAGTTCTTTTAGGTACAGATTGTGCTGGTGCGCTATCAATTCATTTTATGATTCATCGCAACGCTATGTTGAAGAACAGCCCAATTGTTTCCGCGTTCTTCTTTAATAATCATGGCATTTTTCGTCTATCTTCTACTTTACCCTTGATACGCATTGCGTTTTTCTCTTGTATCAGCGGTGTCCCATCTGTAAGGTTACGCGTCTGCTCCTTTCTTCTTCCTTCGATGGAATTACTCGTTTTTCCAAATGCACAGGTTATATCGTAGACCCATCCTCATTGTCCGTCTTGCGCTCCCTTCGTTTTTACATTTGTTAATAAACTGTGAAGGATTAGTTCAGACTTTAATATACGTTGGTAGGGCAATTCTACGAAACTTTTCGATCGAATTGCCATGCGTAGGGAAGGCACACTGTTTCCAGCTGCTATCTGTCTGGATGGTTCATCTCTCAATGAGTAGCTTCTTCTACGAGCTGTTTCGGGTACCTACTGGTTTTGAAATCTTTCTTGATGTTGTTCAGTTCTTTTCGAATGCCCTGAAGTCATCGACTTCTGCTGACAAGAGTCTTAACGACGCATTTCGTTATTCCATGTCAATCATTGGAAGTAAATCGTGCGAAACTAATGGTCTGCATTGGTTTGTGATAAACCTGTTATCATAATAGTTCTCCTTTCGCATAACCAAAACATCCAAAACGTGTAATATGCCTTTTTTGTTCTGCTTCGATGACGAATTTTATGTTGTCTTGAAAAAGACTGTTCCAGAATTCTGCGCTACTTTAGCAAATGGCAGTGATATCGTCTGCATGGCTGGCTCAGTGTTGCTAGTTGATGTCTGGACGGCAACTTTCTCCAAATGTTGACCAACCATCTGAACAAACTCTTTCCGGACGACATCCCTGTAAATGCGGTGAATTCTATATCCGAAAAACGGGTAATTGCATCGAAGAATGAAGAAAAGAATGCAGGTGCAACTTGCTAGATGGAACACGCTGACGTAAGAGAATGCA